CAAAAAATGCAACCCAGGGCCTTGCCAGGCTATGCTTGGGTCAGGGCTGCCTTAACCCAACCCTTTTTTTCCTTATTCTCTTGTCTTTTCTTTTTTCATTTGTGTGTATTAGGCTCAGATTGCCCCCAATCAGGCTTGGGCCAAGGCATCTTCAGCTTGGTCGGGCTGGGTTGGGCTCAGGCTGACCTTGTAAGGACCATGGCTGGCCTTGCTAGCCCAATAGGGTCTTAGGATGGACCCCACCTGGACCAAGATCTGACCCATTGGGTCTAGAATTGGGGTCCGAAATCACACTTAGGTCTGAGTTGACCCACTTACTCCGCTGGGCCCTTTAGCTACCCCATGAATGGAATATGAAAAGAAGTTTAGCATCTAGAAATTCACCCATGAACATGGATTCATACAGGAAATATCCCCAAAACCACCATTCTCATGGTACAGGAACAGATGCAATGTCGCCATTGCAAATGTAACCGGGCTTCGCCAGGCCTCAGAACCCATCAGGAGGCCAGCCTATTCATGTTTTGGGCCCTAAAGGGCAAAATCTAGATGGGTAGGACCCAGCCTAATGGGCCTCTAAAGGTAAATTGGACCCAACCTTAATGGTGGTCCAAGATCCGGATATTAAAAGGTGTTATTCTCCTGTACTTGCAGAGGTAGTACGGAACAATAGGCCATAGATAAGTGCCTGTAGCATACTCCCGTGGGTGTATATTGTACATTTACTCATGTTTTATCAAAAGAGATATTTAGGCTGATTTTTACCTATAAGATATTTTGGGGTCCACTTTAGAACCATCAATGAGTATTTTCAACAACAAAAAAAAAACAACGGATTTTGAGTTCTTAAAGGCTTTAATCTTGACTGTCCAAACATTGGATGGTCTATAATCAATCTCAGGACTTTATTGTTTTCCCACATATTTTCCTTTCTGTTTTTTTTTTTTTTTGGAAGACGATCGCAAGGTTGAGGAGGTTACCTCCTCGAAATTTAGTATCATAAAGCTTTACCCTCACGAGGGAACATTTAAGCCTTTGGCCCCATAAATTGGAAGTCATAGCAATGTGGATCATCAAAGTGAATGAATAGTTTCTATGGTTCAAAGTATTGAAGGTAGGGGACATCTAAGGGGGCAGGGTCATGTGCCCCATATGCCTTTGTCTAGACCCTATGTTAAGGGAATTGGCATGGTCCAAGTCACCAATAGTGGATACAACAATAGTGCATTTTATCAATTTAATTGACTATCTTATATAGAAATGGAACGTGCACCACCCTTGTACGAAAATGAAGGAGAAAGTGATGTGGCAACAATTTGATGATGTGGGCGATAACATGGATAGAATGACATTTGATATTTAGGGTATGTGGCATCGGAGGATTTCATTTGGTCCTTCGGGCGATAACATGGATAGAATGACATTTGATATTAGGGTATGTGGCATCGGAGGATTTCATTTGGTCCTTTGGGCTCAAGGGTTTGGTTACAATGTCATAGGCCAATTGGATCTTGCCATATGGAATTTTAATTTTAATTTATGGCATGCTCCTGTGGGAGCAAATTGCATACATATTCCCTCAGACAGAATACCTACTTAGGGGTATTTTTTTCATCTGGAGAACAAAATTTTGTCAAATAGTGTTTTTCTCCGATTTGCAGTTGATCAAATGGCAATTTGGTCAATTGTCATTTTGCTGTCTACGGGTGTTTAATTGTTACAATTTGAGTTATAAGTTGTTATTATGCGGTAGTGATAGTGTTGGTGATGGTATAGTGTGACAATGATGGTGGTTGTGGTGAAACAGATGGAGCGATGGTAGTATGGTGGTGGGAAGTAATGGCAAGTAGGCGGTGGTGGTCGTAGAGTGGTAGTAGTAGTGATGGTAGTACGATGATGATGGTGGTGCCGCAGCGGTGGTGGTAGTGGTGATGGGGGATAGGCAGCAGCAGTAGTGGTGATGGTGGAGGTGGCTGCGATAGTGTTGATGGTGGTAGTAGTGGTGGTGGTGGCGGAGTGGATGGTGGAATGGCGGTGGCTCGGTGATGGTAGCGGTGGAGTGGCAATAGTGGTGACGGTGTTGTAGTGTGGTAGTGGTTGAGAGAGCGAGAGACAGGGAGAGACCCCTAATTTTTTGCAAAGCTACTTGAAATTGAAATAGTGTTGCAAAAAATTCAAAGGATGCGTTTCGTATAAGGTTCAACTTTGTATTACAAAAATAAGGTGCATCTCAAAAGTCTACCCTAAAAGGTTGGTTTGATGGTGAAAACCTTTGTAATAGCCAAAATAAAAAAAAAATTTCTTTGCCTTTAATTATGAAATTCAAAACTAAAAAAAATGGCATAGATCAAGCAGATCTATAAACGCTTAAAAATCTTGAAAATTGTGGATATAGATAATGTGCTACAATATGTATTATTTTGTCTGATTTGAAAGCTATTTTTCTTTCATATTCACACACATTTAAGTGGATTTTTGAAATGTACCTTATTTCAATAATATAAGGTTGATACCTTATATAAACTTTTTCCAAAATTCGTTTTAGGAGCTCAATTGCAATTGAGAATCATTTCAAATTTGTGAATCAAACATCTCTTGAGGTCAAATTACTGGTGATAATTTTTCAAATAGGCCCAACTTGTAATTTAGCTAGCAAATCAAACAATTCCTTAAATGAAACATTGGGATCCACTTCAAAAATTGAGTACTTTTGATTTCAAAATTTGAGTGCCTAACCACTTCTTGGAAACTCTTCCTTCAATCTTGGAAACATATAGACCAAGGTCCAAAAATTCGGCGATCCGAATCTGGAATTGTCGAAACCGGTCCAATTCACGTCCACTTCAAAATTGAGTACTTCTGTTTTTAAAATTTGAGTTTCTAACCACTTCTTGGAAACTCTCTCTTCAATCTTGGTAACATATAGACACAAGGTCTAAAAATTCGGTTATCCGGATCGGGAATTGTCAAAATCAGTCTAATTCACATCCTATACAGATAGAACCACCAGTTGACTCACTGATAGAACCGGTTCTGACCTGAACCGGTTTTAACAAGGGAAGTTTTAATTTTTTTTTGAAATACGATCACCCGCCCCCATTTTTTTTTCTCTTAAAAATCACCTAAAAATTTTGTGTTCCAGATCTGAAATTGTCGAAACCGGTCTAATTCACGTCCACTTCAAAATTGAGTACTTTTTTAAAAAAATTGAGTTTCAAACTACTTCTTGGAACTCTCCCGTCATCAGTTCAACCTATGACTCTTTGAGAGAAATTTTAAATGTTAGAATTTTACAAACCTTTGGGAGCAATTTCACGCACGAGACATTTACAATGCCCGGAAAATTTACATAGCTATATTTTACATAGTTTATTACTTTATTTACATAGTTTAAATATTTAAAGCTATTTTATTTATATAGTTCATATACAAGGTGTAAACTTTTTTTTTAAACTTTCCCTTAACCTTTTCGATTAAAGTGTGATCTAAGAAGGGTGATGACTTTAAACTTTCCCTTAACCTGTTCCATGCCCAGGTAAAAGGACTTGATGGCATTAGGTAGGCAGCTAAAGTAAAGTTTTGTCATGAATCATGAACAAAAGACTGCACTTTCTATATCTTAAGTTGATAATCCAGAAAAATGAAGAGATTGAGGAAGATGTCGCACATAAAATTCGAGCTGGTTGGACAAAGTGGAGATATGCAACTAGAATTTTATGTGATCGCCACATACCAATGAAGCTGAATGACAAGTTCTATATGACAACTGTGAGACTAGTTTTGCTCTATGGGGAGGAATATTGGGCAGACAAAAAACAATATACCCATAGAACGATTGTAGCGGAGATGATGATGTTGAATGAGTGGCAAGGCAAGAAGGGATAGAATTTGAAATTAATCAATTCGGGAGAATTTAAGTGTGGCACCAATAGGCGATAGGATAAGAGATAGTAGACTTAAGTGGGTTGGCCGTATGTGGCGCCCACCAAATACAACACCTGTTAGGATGTGCGAGTTAGTTCAAGTAGAAGGGTTAAAAAGAGCAAAGGGTAGGCCCAAAAAGACGTGGTTGGCAGTGGTCCGAAAAGATATGGGGACTTATGGTCTCAATGAGGGTATGATATTTAATAGAGCATAATGGCGAACCGAGATTCATGTAGCCAACCCCAATTAATTGAAAAAATACTCTGATGAGGATGATGATATACCGGGTGTAAACTTAGCTATATTTCTTTCACACCTAGTTTTAACATAGTTAATTTACACCATAGTTATTTTATGCCATAGCTAATTTTAGAACTTTACAACATCATTTTAAATTAACTAATTCTAATGTGACATATATCTCTTTTTCTTTTCTTTTTTAACATTCAAAGGGAAAAAAAAAAAGCCCTAAAAATATTCAATGGTCTATAAATATATAGATAGGAAAACGACATCTCAATATTCATGTATTTTTATAAAATAGTGTAAGTACATAATGCAACACCCTAAAATTGTTTTGAAACTTAGAAAACACTATTTTTAGAAAGTTTAGTATTTTTTTAATTTTTTAGGCCTTTCTTCGATCTTCTGACTCGTTTTTTGAGGTGGCCGATCCATTTTTTTAAACCTTAATGTACACTTTTTTTCATAAATAAGGTTGTTTGCTAGGTTGAGGAAGCATGTACCTGCAGGAGTACATTATATAATTTTTAACTTTATTCTTTTAAAGTTGATGAGTAGTAAATTTTAGCAAGGAGCATGTACCCGCAGGAGTACATTATATAATTTTTAAGTCTAATTCTTTTATTAAAGTTGGAGAGTAGTGGATTTTAGCGCTTTGGAGCGTAGCAAGAAGTTATATGTTAAGTGAAGTGGGTCCAATCCGTTTGTGTTTCTCCTTTTGGCACATCATACTTTCCACACTATTTTCTTTTGGGACTCTTTTATTAAGGCGTATATAACCCCATCGATCCTTCTCTAAATGTAGGAAGGCCATTAGAGTAGAGAGACAGGAAAGATGGAACTCCTCATCCTCACAACCCTGCTTTTTACTCTCTCTACGTTAATCCCAATCTGCAGTTCTAACCACTTAGAAGTACCGAGCTCACCACTTCATGGTAAGCATTAGGAATAAGACTCTCTCTCTCTCTCTCTCTCTCTCTCTCTCATTGATTCATGAGCTGTTTGAATAATTTCAGGTCCTCCTCTCTCAGCCATGAGCAAACTTTCAAGGAAGTTAAGGGCTGGGGACTTAGCCGTGGTAAGTATGTTCTTTCTTTGTTGTAATAAATCTCTCTCTCTCTCTCT